GCACTTGCATGCGAACCTGCGCGGATGTAGGATGTGATGTTTTGGTCAGTCGGCTGTCACTTCTCGCCTGACGAGGGACAACTGTGCTATCAGACATCACTACAGAGCACTGACTCCATGTATTCAGTATGCAATATGCTCCGACCGACATCTAGTGAGTCTGGCTGATGCGCACCGCACAGGGAAACAGGCTACCGTCAGTAGCCCTACCGCTGCGTACACAGTGAGTGACGTTATATGATACTCCAAAACAATATGACGGCAGCCCACCTGACCAGCGTCGAGCCACGCAGCCACGCAGCCACACAGCCATGCAGCCAATATAGTCGGGACGGCGGATGAGAAAGGCAACAGATGGGGCACATCGCGAATGATGGCATGGCAGAAGACGAGCCATAAACCATGCAGGAATCTCTGACGACGCCTGCCTTGAATCCCTCACACGCTCCCCCGGCCTGTTCTCACGGCTGAGGCACGGCCCTTGTCTCACATCTGCTGCCGCATTGCTAAGCTGTCACTTGCCCGAAGACATGCCGGCATCTCTCCTCACATCATCCGTGATCATCTGCCGTCGCCGGTCCTCCTCAATGGTGAGGATGAGTGGACGTCCGGTCAGGGGAGCGTCACGCAAGTTGCGCGCCCCACTCGACCAGTATGTCGCGCTCACCCATGAAAGTCATCACGACACATTTCAGATCAGTGTGATGCAATGACACCTAACAATAGTCATCTGGGAATGACACCAAGGACTGTACTTGTGCTTAGAGTGGATGTGTTCCCGCAGGATCTGGACGGTTTGTAGATGCAAACCGGTCTTTGAAACAGACCCACTATGTTGGTCCGTGCCATTTGGCGAAAGAAAGGCGCCCAGAGGCCAGCCGTTACCAGTCGTTGCCATCAGGTTGCCCACAGGTGACTAACGAGCGCAGGAACAGATGAGGTAAGCACAATGATACTGTTTGAGCCAACGGGAAATGAGCGGAGCCTGAAAACAATGTTTGCAACGCTCGATCTGGTCTGGAGTCCAGACTCTTCGGCGTCTAACAGCACGGCAACGGTCACTCTCGAGGTCAGTCAGATCAGCCGTGTTGCCGAGAAGATCTAGAGGTCAATTCTATTCTGCAATTGCGTCCAGACCTCTGCGGGAAGGCATCCAGTGAAACGGGATCAATTCTGTGTCGGATCTTTCAAGAAGTCATAAACTGTTGTGATGGTGAAATGATTGGGGTTTCACACTTCCCGTGTGAATTTCTTACTGCTGATTATTGTCTGGCCGAGGCCGTGATGGATGTTCTGTGTGTATATATATACACCGTGTGATTCATGTCTGGCAACTTTCCTGCTATGTTCCTCGCCGTCGCTTTTACCTTGTTACTTTCGATTTCCTTCCTATATTTCTCTCCTGATGGTATCATCCTTGTGTCGACAGCCTCCAAGTAAGTGAACTCACATCTATCTACTGTTCTTGAAAGTGCCTTACCAACTTCCCTGTTATCAGCCAGGTGGAGGTTGAGCTGAAGGATGAGGGAGACGAGGTGAGCACCACGATCGAGGCACATGATCAATCAGTGCCAATGCTCATCCCAATTAGGACGCTACCGATGGCATGGCGCTTGTTCACTCATTCCGACATGAACGAAGATGTAGAGCCAAGTGAGCACGCCACGCACTCTGTGCATGCCTCACACGGTGCATTGCTCTTCAACCTCGCCGCCATGTCCTCCGGGGTCCAGTCAACGACCTCGAACATGCTATTGTAGATCGCGTGATGGGCCGTGCTCAGCTTCGCCCGTGCCGCTTGGTCCGGACGGCCGTTCGTGGGGCACAGCGGACCATCCCATGGCCACGATGACCTCGTCGGAAACGATGGAGCGGCTGAGGCTCCGCGAGTGCTACACCACCAGCTCGTGTTGGAAGAACTGCAGCATCAGCGTGTCCTTGTCTGGTGTGCCCGGCGGGGACAGGTTGTGTGCTGATGACGACGGTGAGTGGCGCAGGCTGATGAGGATCATGGTGACAGAATGCCGTTGTCCTTGTCCCTGGGCCGCTGCGGCATCGATGTTGTGACCTGCTTGGAACATCAGGCCCGCGCCCATACTTGCGGCTGCTGATGCCGTTGTCGCTAGCGCGAGCGCGCGCGCACATCTACTCTCTGCCTCGAGTGTCCTAGCGAGCAGATCATGAGCGGACACGGGTCCATGTTGCATTGCATGTCGTGCTATCCCGGCGGCAGCTCCGACGTCCTCGTTGCTGACGTGCGAGAATGTCCTCTATAGTGAGTAAACATTCCCGGACTATATTCGTGTGCGATGGTTAGCTAAACGAGTACAGTGGGCTTCTCCACGTACCTGGGAGGTGAGCTTCAAGATCATTGTCGATGGGAGCGTGGGAACAGTCGATGGCACAAGCTGTGATGGCCCGGCGATTGCGAGCGCGATCGCGCTTTCGAATGTCCGGCTGGTCGCTGCGGGGAAAAGCACGATCAGAGTGTTGCATCCCTGGAGGCGCACGGCATGTTGGCAGCTGACCGGGCCCGGTCAGCATCGTTGGCCAACACGGCGCCCCACCGCAGTGCTTGCTGCGTATGCCCATGCGTTGGCGGTGCGCCCCCTCGCGATTTACACTGGCGACCGTTTCAGGACGTGCACGGCGCGTTGACAGCTGACCAGGCCCAGTCAGTGCTGCTCGCTGTCACGGCGCCCCGCTGTAGCGCTCGGTGCGGTTCGTCTTGCCATCCCCGCGGTGACCGTCTGTGGACGTGCACGGGGCGCTGACAACTGACCGGGTTTGGCGAGCGTTAGTCATCGTCAGCGCGCGCGCGCGAGGCGGCTGGACGACATGCTCGCGCGTGGGCGGAGAGTCGTCTTGACGTCCCGGTTGACATGTCGGTCTGTCCGGGAGA